TGGGCTAGACAGACCATTGGTCTAACCTAATATGGCTGGTTTTATGTTGTTATATTCACACACCTTGTGTAGACTGATCGGGTCCAATCTTATAAGCATTTCATGCTTGTTACTTCCAGTGATTTAAATGGAAATTCTGTGTATATATTGCTTTTAGGACCCTCATATTTTTATTCATGACAAAGATGTACAAATAGGGATTAAGTTCATTACTACCTTGACAATCAAGGGGATTTTGTTGTTTTCTTGGTTGTTTTAACTCAATTGTAAATGTACAGAATTGCAGAATTTTCTTTAGAATCTTTACCTATTCTTGTTTTCTCAGAACCCACGTTGAAGGCACCAACCAGATTTTCCAGGAAAAGCCGGACGAGTCTGAAGTTGAATCTGCCTATGCTCCATGAGCCATCTACCAAGATCACAATGTCTGCAATTGCTGGAGTTTTACATGTGAACTGATTTTCTGTAAATCATAAAATGAAAAATAAAATTTAATCTCAACAATACTAATGCAATGAAAAGTTTGGGTTTTTTTCCTTCTAAGTTTAATATCTCTGGGTATGTCTACACTACCCCGCTAGTTCGAACTAGCGGGAGAGTGTAGACATACCCCATGAGAGGATGTGGGGTCTGAGAGAGTTTGGGTGAAGGAGGGGGTTGTAATCTGGGACAGGGACTTGGGGTGCAGGGTCGGGGAGGGGTATGGATGCAGGAGAGAATTCTGGCCTGGGGGAGGGGTATAGGAAGAGAAGGAGTTGTGATCTGGGGAGGTGATGCAGTTAATTTGGGTGATGACCTGGGGCAGGAGGTGGTGGTAGTCTGGGGTTAGGAGGAGGGAGAGGCTAGGGTGACCGAGTCAGGCTCTGGCCAGGAGGCGCTTACCTAGGCAGCTCCCAGCCAGCAGCCCTGCAGGATCCCAAGGCAGGGGATCTGTCTGCTCTGGGCAGGGGGGTGGAGGAAGATAGTATTTTATAGACCATAAAAAGGATGCTAAGCAAAGTTATTAAAATATACTAATAATATATTGCCAGTACATTCTACACTCTTATTTGATTGTATACAATTATTTTTTTAGAAAAAGTATTGATTACTTAAAAAGAGACTGTTCCAGGAAAAAAAAAAAAAGCATAAACTGATATATTAGTACAATAGTATCAAATAGCAGTTCATGTTTACATTTTGATTCCTGGGGATATATGCACTGGACTAGACTGCACAGAATATAGATTATGTTTACCATAGTATGTATGAAGTAGGATAGATCATAGAAACATAGATACTTCTAAAAAGCTGTACCAAGTAGGCAGGTCATCAGCTGGTAGAGAAGGATAGAGTTCTGTTGAATTCAATTCAGCTGAGAATCTGGCCCAGTCTCTTATACAAGCAGAAAGGAAAAGTGATATATATATAAATGGAGAGTTACAGAAGACAAAGTAGTGATGTCTGTTAATATTCTTGCTGGCTTCATTAAATTACAGGGAAAATGGAGGAAAGTGGTAACAGGGAAAAGGTAACAAAGTTAAATAGGGTTTAGAGTCACTCACAGGCTAAGACAACAGGACGCCTTTAGGGTAAGAGATAAATATAAAACTGTTCCTGACATACTAGGCTAGACAAGTGAAACTGCAACATTCAACAGTGAAAGTTGTAGGGAGGCAGCTGAGAGAAGGCAAAATGATGCAGCAGATTAAGCAGAAGAGTGGATGGTTATAACATCTCACAGCCAGGGGAAAATCATGGAATTTCATGGCCAGAGGAGGGGCTGAAATGGATTCAGAGATGGAGAGAATGTTTGTGGTGCGGGACAATAGATACTGATAGACAGCATGGCCGAAAGAAGGAAAATGAACGGGGAGCTGTCATGCAAGTATGTCAAGGAAATGCTGGATGTCTGGCAGCAGCAAGGAATAATCTTTTTTATGTTTGAAAGTAGGAATGTCGCAAACTCCTCACAACATTCAATGGGGAATGGGATGAATGAGGACATGTTGGGGATAAGTGAGTCAAAAAGTACAGAAGGTCAACGTGCACTATAAACTGCCTCCAGGGGTATGTCTACACTTACCACAGTATGCAGAGTACATATGCTGCACCTCTAGCCAGCACAGCTAGGTCTCAACAGCGGGGAGAGGCATGGCTGAGGTGAGTAGAATAAAGTGCCCTGCATCCCTGAATCCCTCTTGCAGTGGTTTGCAAACTGTTGAGTCATGAGTGATGACCCCCATTTTAATAGGATCACCAGGGCTGGCAACTTGAGACTTTCTGGGGACCACAGTCCAAACCTCACCACTCTGCTAAAGCCCAAAGTCTGAGCCCAACCACTTGGGACCAAAGCTAAAGCCTTCTGCCATTCTTAAGTTGCAGGTCCACCTCTTGGGGATGAAGCCCTTGGGTTTGGTCCCCCTGCTCAGGTGATGGGGCTCATACTTTGGTCCCTCCCAGCCACTTGGGGCAGCAGGCTTAGATTCAGTCCTGGGGTTGTAAAGTAATTGTTGTCAGAAGGGGGTTGTGATGGTGCAATGAAATTTGAGAATTCCTAAGGCTGCTCTCTCCAGGCTCAAGCATTGCATCTCACAAGTATACTGCTTTATTTAGCTACCAGAGCCTTTTCCTGCCACTGGGAAAGGGTCCATTGCAAGGATAGGCTCAGGCACAGAGGAGGAAGAAAGGACGCTGCTGGGGCTTTTCATTTCAGACAGTACACAAGCAGCTGCAAGCTGTGCTCTACATGCCCCCATAAGTGTAGACATAGCCAATGATAAAGGAATCTGTGTCTTTGCACTGGGGAGAGAGGCTAAGTAGACAGCAAGGTGAGTTTCACTTGATCTGATGAACAATATGCTCTGATTTGCATCACCAGTTTCCTCAGGAGCCACAAGGTGAAGTTGAAGTCACAAAGGCTTTTCAGATATCAGCGTGAGTAGTGCAGAAAGTGGTATGAGTGAAGCACAATACAGATTGTTCAAGTGCTGATAAAAAGATAAGGTTATTAAAATGAAGGGTTAACAAGAGAGGACATTCAGTGAGAGAAAAGGGGGAGCACATATTAGCCCCTCAAATGCCTATATACCATTGAATGTGATTACATACCATATGTTCAGCAGCTTAAAACAACACTAACATCATACCATTAATGTCACTACCATGATTATCCTGAATATAAATACATTCTGATGTGCAGAAGGATTAAGAATAGCAGCCAGGGTCACCAACTTTTTTAACTGGACAGAATTAGCAGCCTTGTTTCAAATGTGATATAATCACAGTGGTTGGCAAGCATGTTCCATAAAGTTAACACTAATTCACTAAAAGTATTATGTAAGGATGAAGGTGTTTTTCCTATACTGTATACAATTAGCAGCATATAATGGGTTATGTACATGTGAATGAGCTAAAACAAACCCTTTATTTCAGATTTTTGCAGTACTAGACAACAGTATTTGAGTTGGTAACATATTTTAGTGTATAAACACTAGAAAAACAGTAAATAGCTAGAATGTGGTCATACTGGAAAAAGTGAACATAAACTGGAAGATAACTTCAAAGTTCCTATCCTTCTGCCATTGAAATCAAAGTTCCTATCCTTCTGCCATTCCTTGCTTTCTCACGAAAATGGGGTGGCAAAGTTTCTGTCAACTTCAGTGGGATTAAGATTTGACATTTTATTATTTAACTGTAGCTGATATCTTCCACAGCCTGGCCTAAACATATGTATATTTGCCCATTTATGCTTCCTGTTGATCAATTTGCATTCCTTGCTTTCTCACGAAAATGGGGTTCAGTTCTACCATTCTTATATTGAATGGGACCTTCCTCCATGAGATGTTCTATTAGTTTCAACAGGAAAATAAAATGCTACTCAAACCAAGTTTGCATTCAAATGGTTACACTGCAGCACAGATGTGATGTGACAGTGTGATTCATGGAGATTTATCCTCCAAACACAATTAAGATAATAGGATTTATATGGCTATAGTCCTTCTCCCACTTTAAAAAACATGATAATAACGGTTTCAGAATCAATCTATTTCTCACTTCTCATGCATGACCAAGTTTTTGAATAAGGTCTTTTCAATCCTGTAGATATTACTTTCCAAAAAAGCGATTAATTGAACTAAGAAAATTAATTTACAGAAGCAAAAGCATAAAGAAAAGAAAAACATTTTTTTCAATATTTTATTTCCATATAATCAGACCAGGGTAAATAGCTGTATCAAAATAATCATTTGTGATTTGATCCAGGATTGTACTGAAATGTCACAGAATGTGAAAATATAGTTCACTCTTCATAGCTGGGATGCACTTGTGGGAATTTTTTCTGCATAAAACACTTAGCTTTTGTTACTTCTTTATACCCACTATTTGTTTATGTTTTCTCCAGTTGAATTTAACAGAAATTGTAGGAACTTCCCTAAAATGGAATAAACAATAGTGAAATATTAAAAGAAGTCTTTACATTTTAACAGGAATACAAACTCAACATCATCCTAGCTTACAGTGTTATTGTGAAAGAGACAGTGAGATCAAATACATTTATTCTTTCTTCTGACCAAAACACAAGATTTAGTCTTTCTTTAAAAAAATCCCATGATTTTAAGTCAAACTCATGATTGGGGGGGGGGGGGGTTCATGACCTTTGAACCATTGTGGGTGACAAGATCGATATTTTCTGGATCTCCATGCATAGAGGGATAGAGAAAGGAAGGGGTTGCACATGGTCATAGCTGAGCCTCAGAAAGAACATTCTAATTTGCATACAGTTTTGAATGTATTTTGTAGAATTACATGTGATATTTTACACCCTTGTGACTTGACACTTTGCTCTGATTTTCAAGGATACCCAGTTCTTTTTCTGCTAGGAGAAGTGAAGGGTTATAACTTGTTCTGAGCTTGCACTATATCATTTCCTTTCTTATTCCCTGTCACAGTGGGAAAATAGACTAATGTATCAGGAAGAGGAGGAGAGTTTAAGCAGATAGCAGTGAGTGTACAATGTGAATGGAAAAACCAAGATACCTTAGTTCACAGTGTAACAAAGTACAAATGGAAAGAAATTTGATGACAGATATGAATTAAATGTACGGTGGGAATAGAGCAAGGATGGAATGTGGAAGTCAGTCCAGCACAGTACAGTCTTTTATTTTAGATGGCCATCGTATCTATATCTAGGAAATATTATTCTGGCATTATTATTATAGCACTGTGATGGTAATATTTTTGCATTGAGATCAGAGTCTAATACAGACCATATGTCAAGGCAAGGATCAACCAGATGTACAAAACACGGATGACCCTTTATTGAACCAAATCTAAACATTGCTTAAATGTGAAGAACTCAAATGTTAGAGCATTGTTAGGTTGTAAGACAAGCCTAGCAAGCTCATCCCAGATCCACAGGTGAAAATAAGGCCAGCTCTCCCCCATGCACCTATCTCTGTCCCAGAAAACTCCTTTAGTTCAAGA